CTCTAATTCTGTTTAAGTAGGCGAAATAGTTGGGCGAACGGTGAACGACAGCATCGCCCAATTCGGCGAAGTTTGCCGTTCGCCGGTATTGTATTTCAAGCATAAAGTTCTCAAAACTTTTGTTCGCGTTTTGTTCTCTAGTAGAACGTCCTCCAGACTTTTGTTCTCATTTGATCCTCTTTGAAAATATTATCGATACTTTCTTTCTTATTTTGTTCTCATTGAAATTGTTCCCAAAAGTTTTATTCTCGTTATGTTCATCTTTAGAATGTCCCCGTGAGTTTTTTTAAATTAATTTTTTTTAACGGAAAAGTTCCTGAACCTTTTGTTTTTGTTTCCGTTCAAACAGCTCTCAATACTTTGGTCCCCTTTTGATTCTTTTTTTGGGAACGTTCTTGACAACACATTTTGTTCTCATGCAGAACTGAACCAAAACCGGAATGCGTTCTCGGTGCCTGGTACATACATAGCTCATGCGCTTTTCCAAAGAAAGAAAATCCAAGTATTAAGAAAAAAGTTTTGACTTTGCTAAAATGAATTTTTAGAAAACTTGAAAAATGCTCTTCACGCCTTCATGTTTACGTACGTATTTGTTAAATTTTGCGAAATTTTCAGCAAGTTTTTTTGCGCGGGATACGCTTTGATTTTAAATGTTGAAATCAATCTGCTTTTTGCAGCTTTTTAAACTTTTTGTATGGAGCTACAAATAATGAAAGCTCTCTCTGATCGTAACTATTTTGGAAATGCATCTGGACTTGTGGGATCGGTGTTGAGCATCTCATTTCTTACGTGTAGAGCTTTTTTAAGCTTTCCTTAAGTTTGGTATTAACTTGCACATAGTAAAAGCTCTCTCAGTTCATTATGGGTCTGCATCGAATGAAACTTTGCACGCACAAAGAGCTTTTTTAAGCTTTCTATACCTAAAAGCTTCTCTTTTCTAAACTAACTCTTACTAAAAAAAGTTGAAATAAGTGAAATCAAACAAAAAATATAAAAAACTTACGAGCTTTAAAATGTTTCTTTGTGGTTAAAAGCAAAGAACTATTGCAGGAAGATAAATATATAAAACTTTTGGTTAGAAGCTAATAATCTCATTTGGGGTTGGTTCTACGACTATAAAGCTTTAACAAATCCACTTCAAAGTTGTTCAATAATATGTTGTTGTAGAAAAATTTTGTTTCCCCGAAGCTCTTCTTTTGGCGCACTTTGCGGGTATAAGACTGTAGTTCCGGTTCGTTTGCTATCTTCATGCAGGGAATTCTTCTCTGGATGTGTATGTATGTATGAAAAGATGATAGACGATAGTGTGAAAAGTTGATGAAGGTGCGGTGAGTGAGCAGATGGAGTGCAAATGTAGCTAGTTGTTAGAATGTTCTTGGTGCTGGTGGTGCTGGTGCGCATGCGCATGCGGATAGTTTTGCAATCTCTGTTGCATTGTGCATTCTTTTGCATTATTTGAAATATATTTTACATTATATTTAATTTCGTGTTTCTTTTTACAACTTACATAAATATTTATTTACAAACCTTTTTAATTTATATTAACAAATTCGTTTTGTCGATTTGCATTTGCTATTTGCTTTACAAAAATATGCACTTAAGTGTGTTCGGCTATAAATGTAGTTACTATTTACTAAATATGCAACTTTCTATTCACTTTTAATGGTTCAATTTACAAATGTACGCGTGTCTGTATTCTTATAAACAAATGGCTTAAATAACAACGAGTAAGTGATAGATTATTTACTTATTTTGTACACATCTCTTTCGCATTTTGCTCTCTTCTTTAATTCTCTTTGCCTTTTACACACATTTACAAGGTTTTGCTGGCAGATTTGTAGAATGCAAGTAGGATTTCAAAAAAAAAAAAATAAAAAATCAATCCTAACACTTTAAATTTCCAAAAGTACCACCAACTACTTGTAATCGAAAAAATAAAAATATTAATAATTTTGATATCTAAAAAAAATAAGTTATTGCCAATTCTCAAACACATATCCAAGTAGGTGGTGAATGTTATTAGAAGAAGGTAAGAATTTTGAAAAAACGACTTGCCAATGTTAATTTAGACCAAATGAACAAAAACAAAAACGTATAAAAATTTTGAAAAGTAGTAAAGAAATCTAACTTTTTTTTTTGTTAATCGCACTTCCATTGAAAAATAAAAAAAAAGATGTCCAAATATAAAAAGAAATGGTTAAACATAAAAATTTGTATGGAAAAAATTCTCAAGAGCAAATGGGAAGCCATGGATGGATAAGGCGATGATTTGGTGTGTTTGTGTGTGTGTAGGCGACTTGGGATGTTTAGGTGTTGGTCGGGTGTGTGGTTGTGTGTATGGGTGGGTCTTTGTGGGATTTGTGGTAGTGTTGATTAGCATACATAAATTAATTAAGCAGATAAGATAAATTTTGTAACTCACAAATCGAATTGGTCGTAGTAGAGAAAATCATCTGCATCTCCGAGTAGCTGCGCGCGCGCCAACGCCGCTTTGTTACCACTCGTCGCTCTTGCTCTCGCAGCCGCTGCCGCTGCCGCCCTCGCTGCTGCTGCTGATGAAGCTGGCGGCACTGCCGCCACACTCTCCTCACTTTCGTCATACAATTCGTCACCGTCAGCATTGAGATCCGCATCATCGGCTTCATCTGACACGGTGCCCTCATGCTCCTCCTCTTCGCTGACATCCGCCTCAGTGGAGTCTTCCGGCGAGCCGGCAACATCAGCTGCGCCCACCGCACTCGCTTGCGCGCCATCGTCTTCCATCGAATTGCTGTAGCGCACATTGCGTTGCTCGCGCTCGCGTTCACCGCGCACACTCGTTGCCTCTGCGCGCGGATCTAAGCTGTCATCCAGCTCGCTGCTGCTCATCTCTGTGGTAGTGGACGGCATCGCCAGCGCTGCCGCCACTGTGGTGCTATCGCGCGTAGTTATTGTGGTCGCCGCTGTGGTGATTGTGCTGCTGCTGGTCGCTTGCGTTGTGCTGGTCGCGCCGCCGTTAGTCGCTTTCGACATCGGCCCCTTTTTCAGCTTCTTCTGCGATTGCGCGCCACCGCCGCCATTTCGCGCGCGCTTACGATTCGCGCCACCATTGCGATTGCCAGCGCCTGCACCACCCGCTTGTCGGCCTCCATTCGCATTCAGCTTCTTGCCGCGTCGATTGTTCGCATTGGCTGCGTCGCCGCTCACGCTGTTGCGATTGTTGCCATTTTGGGCTTGGTTATTGCGATTCTTCTTTGCGCCACCGCCGCCGCCATTTTTCTTCTTCTTGCATGGCGCAGGCAGCGGCATATCGGGCACTTCTTCACCCTTCGCTTTTAGCAGCCTGCGTTGCTGTTGCTGAAGCGTTAACTGCTCTCGACACTTCTTATTGTTGAGATTATTGCCGCGCTTGCGCAGCGCTAACGGGTTCCTCTGGCAATTATGCTCCTCCTCGTTCTCGTGCGGCCGGCATTTTCGCCGCTTCTTCTTTTTCTTGGCACCGCCACCGCCGCCGCCGCTGCCACCACCATTGTTGTGCTGACGGCCCTGACCACTCTGACTACTATTACCGCTACTATGGCCGCCATTAATCGCTGACGAACTATTGCTAATACTACTACTCAAGCTATTGGACGCATCCGCGCCCCGCTGGCCACCCTTGCTGTGGTGACTATGGCTATTTGTGACTGCGCTGCTCTGTGACTCGCCTCTCTCGTTGGCAGCAGGAACGTTGTTCATTGATTGGCCACTAATACTACTACTACCGCTAGGACTATCACTATCACTATTACCTAATGGACTACTACTACTCTTTTTGCTACTACTACTCACACTAGTGCTACTATTGCTACCGCTACTACTACTACTACTACTACTACTACTACTACCGCTATTGTTATTGCTATTGCTAGAATTTGGATTGCACTTGGGGTGCGCTTTGAAGTGTTTGCTATCGATCAGGTCGATCAATGGTTTGCCCGTATCACAGAGTTGGCGTATGCCGTGCTTAATGCGATTCTCGCCGAAATTCTTCGCTATCAGCTGTTCGACGCGCTCCTCCTCCACCGTTTCGGTGATGGCGTTCGTGTAGGTGGCCAGCTTGCCGAGCGAGCGGGTTGGCGGTATTTGCAGCTTGCGCGGCTCACCGTGTCGATTCAGCGCCAAATAGTAGACGCGCCGCGAATTCGAATTGAATGTGGACGAGTAGGTGTTGTAGTTGTGCTGCTCCATGTTCTCGTTGAAGACGCAGTCGTCGGTGAATTCTTTCTGCAAAAGGTAAATAAAAAAGGCAAATGAAGAGCAATGGATTTAAATAGTTTACAATACTTCAATAAATATGTAGTAAACAAGTTTTTGTTGAAGGTTTGAAAAATTGGTTAAGGTTAAAAAACAGTCGGTTTGCGCCAGCAGCGTGCTTAGATTAGCGATAAATAATATTAGACGATTTCGTACGCCGTTTGAGAAGTGCATACTTGAAGATAAGCAATTAACATCTAATGTAGCATAGTTTTAGGAACGCCATTTACCAATGAAGTCACACATGTGCTAGAACAGATAATAAGTTTTAAATATTTTGTTTGTTAAAGCCAAAAAAATATTTTCTAAAAAATTAATTATGAACCCAAATATTTGAAATTATAATGAAATGGTATCCCACTTGTCCATTCTATACAGTACAAATATAAGTGTTTCAATTTAAAATATATTTTCACTTGTAAAATACTACTGAGGAAATTTTCTTTCCTCATTCTTCATTTTTCTTTCACATTAAAGACTTTGTCGGCCGAACACTTGCCCGCTAACTATTTGAAGAAATTAAAATAGTAATTAGTTGACGCATGCTTCAAATAGCCGCCAATTGTTCCACATCTGTCGTCGAGTAGCGCGACAATGAGGTGTCAGAAGCAAAAAAAAAGAAGAAAACTCATTAGCGTTTCCTTACAATAGACACCTAGCAAATAAAAGATGCTACAACAAAGTATTAGTTAAAAAAAAAAATGCCACTTGTACTTACCGCGAAATAAAAATAACGAGCAGGAAAAGCTAATAATCCAACATACATACGAACAAATTATTTCAACGGAAAAAATGTATTTACTGAGGATTTGTGAGGATATTACCGGCTATACATTCGATAAAAATTTACGCATAGGCAGAAAAAGGGACGGCTTGAAGACTCCAGCTACTTTTTTTTTGAAAGGAAGGATACCCAAAATGAGTTTTCAAAATACAAAAACGCTCCTATTAATTAATGTAAAGGCACCAGGGACTCGAACTCATGTTTTACGATATACCATATGCTGACGGCTATGCCGGACTTAATACTTTTCACAAGGCAATACAAGATTGCAGTCTGGAATAAAAGTAAAACTAAAGGCAAGACAAAGTACATTAGGATCGTACTTAGCAGCAAACTGTCATGGAAAGTCAATGTAGAGGAGCGTATGAAGAAGGTCCCAGTGACATAGTATAAATGTAAAAGGATGTTGGGCTGAACTTGGGTCCTTTCTTCGAGACTTTCTGAGGATACTCCAAGTCATTATTAATAAAGTCAGTAGCATTCCACGGATTCGATGATAATCAAATTTTTGTGAGGGCGATTATATAGACATAGGATATGATCCCGCACCAGAGTTTCCAGAGGTCTCTTGGAACCACAATAAAAGTTTAAGTCCAAAGAGGCTAGTTTGGTATAGTCATCCGCCTATATGGAGTCCCAGCTCACAAAAGTTTTGAAGGTAAGGAAAGGGAAGGAACGTGCCAAAGGTTGTGGGGTTGCAAAGACTATTTACATATATATTTATTGATCGTATGATAGAGTCAGTTCGTAAATGCATTACTGCAAAAATTAGTTCCTTATATTTCTAAACTATAATTGATGGATATATCCAGTATGCGTAAACACAATTGAATGCCAAATTGGGGTAAGTTGCGAAAATATGGCATTCCCGTGAACAATAGATAATGAAGAAAAAAGTTAAATTCTTCGCATTAATACTGCGGGCTGCATTTACGAACTGACCCGTAGCATAATTACCGATTTCTCTGTTATCAATAAGTAGAGCAGACACAATACTTCTCGCAGGAGTGCTAATGAGATGCTGCTAGCTAGATGCGCATGCGTTCAGACTAGGTCTAGTGAAAGGCGAAAAGTGTAGTAAGTTCAACTCTCTCAAGGAAACAGTACTAGGGAAAGATTTTGTGGCAGTGGCAGAGAAAATGCTCAAAGCTTTTCATTTTCTGTCCGTTTCCTAGGCAAGATTGGTCTTGTTAACCCGATGTTGATTTTGTAGCTCATCTTCTGTTTGCCAATGTAAAGATGTTGCTTTTAAGCCAGAGAACAACCGCTTCATTGGATGTCCTTGTAACAGGAACAGACGTACCCACTCATGTCCAATACATTTGTCTCAAAAGTATTTGGTACTCCTATATCTCTGTGCACCAGAATTTACATCACTCTTTTTGTGCTCTTTTACGTCAGGTAACATCTGGTAGTTGTTTTAGATTATTTATTAGCAGCTGTACCTACCGTCAGATTACATGGTTCTGTCTTGCAGGTTCTGATTAGCGGTTATCGGACTTAGTTAGTCCGTAAATTCCACTCAAAGCATTTTTAGATTTATCAATTCCACAGGAGAGTTCTGGACTACGGAATCCCGGAGAAATGCTTAACTTTATTCAAAGGACATACAATTGAGTCAGGCTCTTATAATCCGTTCCGGGAAGACGGTGCAGTGCTGAGCATCTTCGATGAATACAGTTTTGTGTATGAACTATCAAAGTACGAGTTTATCACAATCGTGACATCGAAGAAATTCGGCGCCTGAAATTGTTATACTTTACCTACACCGCTTCTCTTAAGTTTTACGCCTTTGAAGTGCCTTTTCTTCTTTCGAAAAAAATTCAAATTTCCATTGACACTTGCAAATCAAAGAGGTGTTGAAAATGGAACCACCAAATAGTGCTCAGCACTGCAGCAGTTGCTCAACAAATCGCCGTGAGCTGCGTAAATGTTGAAGGTGCGAGAAACAAGGCGACTGTATAGGACAAACAGGTATTCCAAACCTACATACGTACACACATACATAAGTATGTACGTATGTAGGAAATGCATTAAAGCGCTATAATTAAGTTAAATTGTCGAATTTCATTTCAAACGCACCAAGCAACAAAACACTTAGCTACAAATCTATCCATCATGCCTCTATGCGCCGAAGTGTGCCAGCTAAAAACAAATAAATATTTATGTTGGCCACACCGTAAACGATAAGTGCAAATAACAAATGGTGGCTCCCAAAAATGCTTTGCTTTATGCGCCCATCCACTACCAAAAGATACATTCGCGCGGCGGCGGCGGCGGCGGCGGCGGCGTTAAAGGCGCTACATTTTACTTTTGCACCTTCGCACGAATGTAGAATCCACGCTGATTTAATTTCTTTCACAGCTCCCTATTTTTCTATGGATACATACGTATGTACATACGGTATGTATGTTTTGTGCTTTCGAGCGGTTTTGCGAAATTTTAGCACTTTTGCGGCTGTGTTTACTTAGCCGCTTAGGCAAATAGATGCTTCATTCCAGCGCTCAACCCACTATCGCCGGTGAGTCAGACCACCAACTGATCGCCTTAATGACCTGCCTAATGTCTTGTCTGTTGCGCCTTAATGCACTTGCGCCCTATTTTAGTGCATTTATGTGCAGTTTTTCGATACTTCTTCATCTGCGTATGCGTGTACTCACTGCCCACTGACGTCTCTACAGCCTGGTTTGCATTTTGTTACCTTTTTGGTTTTGCCGTCATGTGACGTCCAGCGTTTTCTGTTGTTTTTGGCTCTTTAATTGTTTTTGTTGTTGCAAATGTAATTTTTTATGACGGTGATAATGATGTGAGCAAACGGTCGACCGCTTTTGAGAGGGGGGCATTTCGCAAGTGGGTTTTGATTTTGTGCCGGGCATTTGTTACGCATACAGGGTTAGGCATTAGTCCAAAGAAATTTAAGGAAAAATGTTTATCCAACTGCTTAAAATAAAAATATTGATATCCAGGCTCGGCGAGAAGTGGGCAGAGTGTTTCCCCAGTGAGCTGGAGTTTTGAGGGCCGGGATTTTATTATATTTTGCTAAGTTGAAAAAGTTGTTTAAAAAATGTATTAAAATTTTTTTGGGTGGTTGGGTATTTAATACCGGATCCGGATTTTCTTTTGGCGGTCCTGCCGATATCGATAATAAGTGTTCAATGTGATCATCATCTATAGGCAGCAATTACAGCTCGGGCTAAGCTTTAGCTTCGTCTTATCCAAGCATCCTGGTTCTTGGCAACGGCCCTCCAGTTGTTGACACGCAGTTTTTTAAGGTCTCCCATGCGCTATAGATGACCTAACCATCGTAGCCTTTGTTATACAAACCGGCAAGAAACGGCATTTATTGAAGGACAATTACCAACTCCTGCCCGGTGAATGCCGAATATCGCAGATGCTTGTCTGGGTACCATAGCAGGTTCAACACTCCGATATGTAAATTACCTGTCCAGCCTGTGAAGGCACCTAACATGACATCAATCACCACTTCTTTTGCGGCTTAAGGTCACCCAGCTAACACCGCTTTACCCTTGGTCTGGCCACTTCGAACTAGCACATTTCCTGCGCCTATTCTTATATGAGCTTAACGACCACGATTCGTATACTAGCCGAACTTGGCAAGGCTTCTTAGTGCCGCAGCAACGAAAACAATAATAACAACAGATGAGTACTTTCGTCCGGTAAGATTCGATCCCAGTCCAAATAGTCCCCCTTCGACAAGCAATAGCAAACCTTCAAGTGTTTGACAACATCAAAACCTTTACGTCGCTCGGCAGAAAAATGTGGGTGACAAACAAAAGATCCAAAAAGAACTAAATCAAATTATCCAACAAATCCATCAAACCCCCTGTATAAGTGCCAAATTCAGCTACTGAAACTAAAATTGGCGGCAACTTTTGATGTTAATTGCTTTTGTAGCGACAAAACGACTGGGGAGTTCAAACTTCCAAGCAGCGCGAGCCGTTGGCGACGAATGGCTACCTTCTTCACGCTTGTCATTTTAGGGTGATTAAAGTGAACAGCGAACAAACTCATAAACTTCCAGAAATATTTCGCCGTGCGTCGGTCGATCAGTAGCAGCCGATTAGGTAATGACTTCCACATTCTTCTGCTCGAAAATTCCCATACGGCTACAGCTAGCTTCGCAAAAGCTTCCCACTACGTAGAGTCTGCCAGCCGATAGTCACTC